ATTTTGAAGTTAAGATTGGTGGGCACGCCGAGCCAGGCTACTTGCTCCAACTCCCTGGCAGCCAGCTACACCATGGTATTGGCAATGACACAATTCGGGAAGGAAGTGATTCAAATCACAACGAGCTGGAAAATTCTCTGATGAGAAGCCAGCAAGGACTTCAGCGCTTTCAGCTATTACGCCCCGAAACTCTGGAAAACTTCCTTATCCCTCCGCCTTGCCCCTTCCTTATCTTCAGATTGCACCTGAAGACCTTCCTCTTCAACCATGCCTACGGACACTTACCCCCACCTTTGGCTTGGCATTGTGCTCCGCCATTGTCAAGCACTCTGGGACACTACTCTGCGTGAGGGGCGCTATATACATGCAACTTTCTGGTCTTTTCTTGCTGATTTCTCACCTGAAGCAATGGAGTGTCCTCCTAGACTGTGCGAGGTGAAAGCCCCACTTTTCACTGTGTTAAGATGTCTCAAGATGCTTGACAGACCAGTGGAAACCGAGGAGGTTGGGCGTTGGGGGTAGAGTGGAAGGAAGTGACCAAAGGGCCAGTAGGTTTGAAATCAGGGAGGGAGATAAGGTAGCCAAACTCTTGCCCACCATTGGTGAAGCAGAGGACATAGTTCAGGCCTGAGTTAGCAGAGTTGCAGAGAAGTAGAACTGTATGAGCTGATAGAGGTATCAGTACAGATGCTGGAGCAAGGAACTATGCAGGGTTTCAAAAAGGAACCAGACCAGTTACTGTAGATTAAAAGATGAATTGATGATGAGATAGGTGTGTTGAGGAGTAAAGCTCAAGTTTCATGTTGCAGTTTATCTTTTTGAGCATTTATTTCAATCACTGAAACAAATAGATTAGTTATCCTATTGTTACTCTTTGGCTCCTGTTAATGTCTTTTCCCCTGCGACTCTGCTTCCTCAACCTCCCGGCCTGACCCTAAGACTTATTGAACCTGTGTGTAACCTGGCATCAGATTTCATCTCCAGCTGTCCTTCGTACCCCACACCCAGTCCCTGACCAGGACGCTTTCCTCCACCTAAGTAACAATACTAGCCTCCAACCATACGTCACACCCAATGCAGCTAAAACCCTCGTCCACACTTTCTTCACCTCCCGCATCGACTATTCCAAAGCCCTCCTCACCAGTCTCCCCAGCTCCACTATCCACAAAATCCATCTAATTAAAATCTCTGCCGCTTGTATTCTCACTCGCTTTAAACTCCATATCCCTATCACGCCAAGCTCCACCACCTCCCTATCACAGAACCGATCGGCTTCAAGATCCTTACAACAACAACAACAAGATTCCATTTACAGAGCGCCTTTCACGTCGGGAGGACGTCCCAAGGCGCTGTACAGTTGGGTCAGGACCCGAGCATTGGGGGGAAATGGTCAGGGTGAGGGGAGGGAAGGGAGGGAGCGAGGAGGGGGGAAATGATCAGGGTGAGGGGAGGGAAGGAAGGGAGGGAGCGAGGAGGGGGGAAATGGTCAGGGTGAGGGGAGGGAAGGGGGGGAGCGAGGAGGGGGTAGAGAGTCGAGAGGGGAGCTGAAGGCACAGTCAAAGAGAAAGGTTTTGAGACCGGCCTTGAAGGAGGAAAGGGAGGAAGCAACGCAAAGGCACTGGGGGATGGAGTTCCAGAGCCTCGGGGCTGAGAGGCTGAAGGCCCGGCCACCAATGGTAGGGCGGTTGGGGCGGGGGATGTGGAGCAGACCGGAGCCAGAGGAACGGAGGGGACGGGCAGGTAGGTAGGGGGATAGTAGGTCAGAGAGGTAGGAGGGAGCAAGGCTGTGAATGGCCTTGTAGGTGATGAAGGCGTGGACCAGAGTTTCAGCCGCGTGAGGGGTGAAGTAGTGCCGTAGTCTGGCGATGTTCCGGAGGTGATGGAAGGCGGTGCCAGTTGTGGCGCGGATATGAGGGAGAAAGGACAGCTCAGGGTCGAACAGAACCCCGAGGTTCCTGATGGCTTTGAGAGGTGGAGAGTGCAGCCTTGGATGCTGATGCTGTCAGCGCCTGAGGTGCGGAGGCGCTGACGTGAGCCAATCAGGAGGGCCTCAGTTTTACGCACATTGAGCTGAAGAAAGTTGTCTCTCGTCCAGGACTCGATGTCGGACAGACAGCTGTCAGGACATCGGTGGTCGTGGAGTTGAGGGTAGAGAAGGAAAGGTAGAGTTGGGTGTCATCCGCATACATGTGGAAGTTAACCCCATGTCTGCGGATGATGTCACCACAGGGGGAGCATATAGAGGGTGAAGAGGAGGGGACCGAGGACAGAGCCCTGAGGGACACCGCACGAGACAGTGCGGGGGTGGAGGAAAAACTATTCGTGGAAACAAAGTGAAGACGGTGGGAGAGGTACGACCTAAACCACTCAAGGACAGGGCCTTGAAGGTTGAGGTGGGAGGACAAGCGGTGGAGGAGGATAGCATGGTCGACCGTATCGAATGCTGCCGATAGGTCGAGGAGGCAGAGGGAGCCCTGGTCACAGATGGTCAGGATGTCATTGGTGACCTTGACCAGGGCAGTTTCTGTGCTATGGGCAGCACGGAAACCCGACTGAAGGGGTTCGAATAATGAATGGGTGGAGAGGAAAGAGCGCAGCTGGGAGGCGACAACTCGTTCCAGGACCTTGGACAGGAAGGGGAGGTTGGAGATGGGCCGGTAGCTTGATAGCTGCGACGCATCAAGGGAGGGTTTTTTCAAGGTGGGAGTGATGGTGGCAGTTTTTAAGGGAATGGGAACAGAGCCAGAGGAGAGGGACAGGTTGACGATGTCTGTGATATGTGGGGCAAGGAGGTGGAGCTGGGAGATAAGGAGTGGAGTGGGGATGGGGTCAAGGGAGCAGGTGGTGGGTTTCAGGGATAGGATGAGTTTGGTGACAGAGGGTGGGGAAACGGGTACGAAAGTGTGTAGGGGAGGATGGGTAGGAGTCGGAGTGTGGGAGGGAGGGGTGGGGGTGGGTGGATGTTGGAGGGGAAGTGACCGCGGAGCGAATTCCCTTGATTTTGGATTCAAGGAAATCCAGCATCTCCTCGCAGTGAAGGTTGGAGGAGATGACCTGCGCGGGTTGGCGGGGGGACGGAGGAGTCGGGATGTGGTAGAAAACAGTAGCCTGGGGTTGTTCTTCGCCTCCAGGATTATCCTGGAGTAGAAGGACGACTTGGCCGAGGCTAGAGTGGAGCGGTAGATTTTGAGGAGGTCCAGCCAGATTTGTCGGTGGACCGTTAGGCCAGATTTGATGCAGGTGCGTTCAGCGGCCCACACCTGGCTCTTCAGTGAGCGGAGGTGGGTGGTGAACCAGGAGCGAGAGTAGGAGACAGTATGGGAGCCCTCTTGATGGGGGCAAGAGTATCGAGTGTGGAGGAGAGGGTGTTGTGGAGGAGGGTGAGAGGAGAAGAGGGGTCAGTGAGGGTTGAAGGCCAGAGGGAGAGGAGTTCAGAGGACTCCAAGGCAGCGGTTAGGGATTGTGGGGGTAACTTCTTCCAGGGGCGGTAGAAGATGGTGGTGGGTCTGGTGGAGGTGGGGAGGGGGTGGAGGTGGTGAAGGAGATGAAGTGGTGGTCGGAGACGGCCTTGTTGGTGATAGTGACATCCGAGACACTGAGGCCCCGGGTGATCACCAAGTCGAGTGGGTGGCCGTGACTGTGAGTGGGGGAGTTGATGTGAAGGGAGAGGTTGAGCGAGGAGAGCAGGGAAGAGAAATCTGAGGAGATGGAGCATTAGGGGGTGAAGTGCAGGTTAAAGTCGCCAGGATGATGAGGCGATCAGAGTAGAGGCAGAGAGATGTAAGAAGTGTCGAAATATCAGAGATAAAGGTGGGAGAGGTTTTAGGGGCCGGTAGAGGAGGAGGATTTTGAGTGAGAGGAAGGAGGGGTGGGAGAGGGTGAGGCGCTCGAAAGAGGGGAAAGAGCCAGAGGAGTAGGGGGATAGGGCAAGTGGTGTCCTTGAGATAAGGGCTACATCACCGCCACGGCGGTTGGGGCGAGGGATGTGGTGGGAGGTGTAGCCGGGTGGTGTGGCCTCCGTGAGGGGGAAGGTGTCGCCTGGGGTGAGCCACGTTTCCGTTACCACTTGACTACAAATCCGTTACCACTTGACTACAAATCCCTTCATGCCGTGGCACTTCCCTACCTGCTTACTCCCCAATCCACCACCCGTTGCCTCTGCTTGGCTGGCTCTGGCTTCCTCATCCCCTCTGCTCCACCATTGGCAGCCATACATTCAGCCACTATGCCCCAAACTTTGGCACTCTCTCCTTCAATCCCTCCAGCTTGCCCCCTACCAACTCTATTCTTCTGACTATAAAGTGCATCCAGAAGTCAATACTCTCAATTATCAATTATTAATGTGGATACTCAAGCACTAATTACTGGAATACCTCACCTTAAAGACAATTTGCTATAACATCAGTAACACAAATTCTGTTCAGTACTGGGTATCTGTTCAGCAGCAATATGAAAATCCAAGGGACTGCATCCCTCACTAGCCTTTCTGGGTGCTTCAGTTATCTGGTTCCTGAGCTAGGCAGGTTTACAGTCCTCCAAGGCATTGCTGATGACTTTCCAACAAGCTTTGAAGGAGCAGACCAGTCACTGGGCCAATGATTCTTCACATTCAGCTCCTATTAACCCTGCAAGCCAAACCCTATAGGAACTGGACCTAGCTGAAAAACCAGCAGAAAGCGATCGAACAGTATTCACAATACAAAATTACATTTGTAGAGCGCCTTTCAATGGCCATGTTGCACAGTTTTACTTGAGTTATTAAATTCCAGCCGTTGCCCCAACACACACTCTGGAGTCCCCAAGCCTTGGCTCTGGCCAACCTGCATTCAATACTTTTAGGCATTAGGTAAACAGGGAGTGTCCATCCAGAAAGAAAATGCTCACTCCATTACTGACACAGGGAAATTTCCATGAATATATAGAACTCTCAACAGTTTGGTCTGGAAACATGGTGATGGATTTCCATGTCAAGACACACGGATTATCAAAATAAAACTTACCAGTCTTTCTGCGAGACATTCTTGTTGTAGATATGGCCAGTCAGGTTCCTGTAGGGAGGACAGATGCACTTGCATCTCACATCTTCAGAGCTCTAGAGTAAACATAAAGATATCAGTGCAGATCTCACAATGGCACTGGTACCTTTCTACATGTATTTCAAAAAAGGCATGCAATCAGTGTGTGCTTTTTAAATGAGATATTTAGAGAAAATTTAAGATGAGGCAAAACAGGACAACTCACAAATTACAAAAACAGACCTTCATAGCTTTGCACAGCACCTGCGTGCGCAATTTTGAAAATGGAATGTAAGGTTGCTGCTATCAGAAATAATTGCTGGCAAAAGAAGACCAAGGTCCATCTAATTCGCCTTCCACCATCCTGGCAGTCGCTTGACGTGTCATGTCCCAAACTAAATACTGTATCCCACATAATATTTTCCACCAGAAATCTATAAAGCAGTTTGCAACATTCTGTAGGTTTGATATTTGTAATGTTAAAAATGTCACTCTTAAGTGATTTTTTTTAACATTCTAGTTTAACCTGCCTATTCAGATGGATTTTAAAAATCCCATGGCACTACAAGAAAAGAGAAGGGAGTTTCCCTCAGTGTCCTGGCCAACCATCCCCTAAATAAAATTGGTCATTCGTTTCGTGGGACATTGGTATATGTAAATTGGCTGCCACGTTCATCTACAAAATATAAAGTCGCTACAATTTACAGTAAATCCTGTGAAGTGCTTCAACATATCCTCTTCACATGAATGCTATATCAAATGCAAGAATTATTATTTATTTAAGGACTGCTATTCACTTCTCACTTATACATATATTAAAGACAGACATTTTCATGGATTCACTAATGCAGTTCTGATGGGCAAACTGTGTCTGTTAGAGAGGCAGAGGAAACCAATGCTTTGCAACTGTATACTTTAAATACCCTAATGCATACTCTGGGATCCACAAGCCTTTGCTCTAAACAATTGCACCTAAACCCTCCAGGATTAGGTAAGCAGGATGTGTCCCGCTAAGGAGAATATGCGCAATCTGTACCAGACGAATGGAAACTCGTCTGGTATGGACACATGTGACCCTCTCAAGTTTGGAGACTCTCAAACATGGTGATGGGTTTTCATGCGCTGACCCCAGCTGACCAGGAAAATCAAGCTGGGAGTGGAAACACACAAGGAATGGAATCACAAGATTATAATCTAATGTCACGGTTCATTAAACATGACTGTACAGTATAGAATCAGGAGACTGGAAGTTAATGAAGTCATTTAGCATTTATCAACCAGACAGTAGAGCCACTGTAGAGCTATGCCTACTGTTAACATGAAGAGAAAATAGCTATTTAACACAATAAATAAGCTTTACATGTGATACAGTTCCTAGAATTCTGAGAATGTTGCAGAGAGTTTCACAAAAGAACAGAAGAAGGCCATTCAGCTCCTCGAGCCTGTTCTACCATTCTATTAGATTGCGGAGTCCTGTAGCTCAGTGGTTATAGCACTCTTCTCGCAAACGAGAGACCTGGGTTCGATTCCCAGCAGGGTGAAATGTTGGGTAAGCTTCCTTACTCCACACGCCTCTGTTTATCTAGCAGTAAGTAGGAACCCGGTTGTAAATCGATTGGCAGATCGCTTTTCCGGGGGGTAATAATTTCTTCCCCAAATAATAATAATAATCATAATAATTTGGTCACTCAATCCACGCCTGTTTGTGGGACACTGCTGTGCACAACTGGCTCCTGGGTTTCGCCCACAAAATTTAGTTAATTCACTTTACAGTATATTCTGTGAAGCATTTTGAGACGTCTCGAAGACGTGATAAGGCGCTATATCAAATGCAAGGATTATTTTATATTATAGATCATGGCTGATTTGTACCTCAAATCCAATTACCCACCCTTGCCCCATATCCGTTGATAACCTTATCTAACACATATCTATCCACCTCAGTTTTGAAAATTTGAATGGTAGTGACTAGATTTTTGTAGGCAAACACAACAGCCAATATTCCACAAAAAGGCCATGAAGTGAATGCATAATTTTATTTGAGGGATTGTTGGCCAGGACCATACCAGACAAATTAAAACTGTACACATGTAGACCTCATGTCATGTTGGATCAGGAGAAGTGGAGGATAACAAAGGTAGGGGTAGTAGGGCGGCCGAAAGCGAGGTTGAAAAGGCTCCTGAGATGTGCCTTGAAGGAGACGAGAGAGGGAGCAAGACGAAGGGACTGTGGGATGGAGTTCCAAAGGGTGGTGGCAGAGAGGTTAAAGGCCCGACCGCCAAGGTGAGGTAGGCCGGGCAGGGGTCATAGACATGCTGGAGCCCACTGAGTGGAGGGAGCGGACAGGTTGCTATGGCACTGAATGAAGCTCTTTGGGACGCTAAGGATGCCATATAAATGCAAATTGTTGCTGTTGTTACTGCAGCAGGTCAGAGAGGAAGGAGCAAGGCCAAGGAGGGCTTTGAAGGTGAGGATTTTGAACTAATATCCTCTGGAGGAAGGGGAGCCAGAGCGAGGGTGATAGGATGACAGGGTCACGGAATGGAGACAACCTGCACTGTGAGCTCAGTCCTGTGGTAAGGTTTGAACCAAAAAAAACCCCGTCTGACCCATTCGCTGAGCGAATGTGCCACATTCTGCCAACAAGAGAAGGGTTTACAATAACAAAATTACATTTATAGAGGCCTTTTCGTGTCAGGAGAACATCCCAAGGCGCTGGACAGTCAAGGGTCAGGGTCCGAGCGTGGGGGAGGGGTGGAGCAGGGGTGAGGGAAGGCAGAGAGGTGGGAGGGCAACTGAAGGCACGACTGAAGAGGAGGGGCTCGAGACCGGCCTTGAAGGAGGCAAGGGAGGAAGCGAGGAGAAGGGACTGGGGATGGAGTTCCAGAGTGTGGGGGCAGAGAGGCTGGAAGCCCGGCCACCGATGGTAGGGCGGGAGACATGGAGCAGACCGGAGCCCGATGAACGGAGGGAGTGGGCAGGTTGGTAGGGAGTCAGCAGGTCAGAGAGGTAGGAGGGGATAAGGCCATGGATGGCCTTAAAGGTGAGGACGAGAATCTTGAATTCAATCCTCTGGGGGATGGGGAGCCAGTGGGGTCGGGCGAGGGCGGGAGTGATGGGGTCGGGCGAGGGCGGGAGTGATGGGGTCGGGCGAGGGTGGGAGTGATGGGGTCGGGCGAGGGCGGGAGTGATGGGGTCGGGCGAGGGCGGGAGTGATGGGGTCGGGCGAGGGCGGGAGTGATGGGGTCGGGCGAGGGCGGGAGTGATGGGGTCGGGCGAGGGCGGGAGTGATGGGGTCGGGCGAGGGTGGGAGTGATGGAGTCGGGCGAGGGTGGGAGTGATGGGGTCGGGCGAGGGCGGGAGTGATGGGGTCGGGCGAGGGCGGGAGTGATGGGGTCGGGCGAGGGTGGAGTGATGGAGTCGGGCGAGGGTGGGAGTGATGGAGTCGGGCGAGGGCGGGAGTGATGGGGTCGGGCGAGGGCGGGAGTGATGGGGTCGGGCGAGGGCGGGAGTGATGGGGTCGGGCGAGGGCGGGAGTGATGGGGTCGGGCGAGGGTGGGAGTGATGGGGTCGGGCGAGGGTGGGAGTGATGGGGTCACTGGTGCATGAGAGTACATGAGCTGCAGAGTTTTGGATGATCTGCAGTTTGTGAAGGGAAGAGTTGTGAAGGCCGATGAGGAGGAGTTCCTGTAATCGAGCCTTGAGGTGATGAAGGTGTGGGTGAGGGTTTGGGGGCCTGAGGGGTGAGGCAGTGGCGGAGTCTGGCAATGCTGCGGAGGTGGTGGCAGCGTTTCGCCCGCACAATACACAGTCACTACACCTTACGGCATATTCTGTGAGAGTCTCGAGGATGCGCCATATTTAAATGCAAGGATTATTATTATTGTTGTTATTGACGGAAAAATAACGGTCACATCGCGTCCCGAGCTGCGGCGCCTGTTGCGGGCTGGACAGTGGCGAGGCCCCGCCCGGCCTTACCTTGGCGGCCTGTGTCACCGCCGACCCTATCAGCAGGTACAGCAGGAGGAGCGCGCTGCCCGGAGCCGCCGCCATCTCCCTCACCGCTCACCGCACAGCGCGGAGACTCGACAGGAAGCCGCGCGCCCGCCGCTCGCGCCGCCAGGTCGTGAATATCGTCCCGCCCCCAAACCTCACCATAGCCCATTGGAGCATCTTGACATAGGCCGGGCACGTGCTTGCAAGCTGATTGGTTGGCTGGCCTGTCTATCACTTGCATTCTCAAGCTGATTGGTTGGTTGGCAGGCGTATGATCCACCCCGCTCAAGATGATTGGTCCTCCGGCCCCGTCTGTCCTCTCACCCTCTCTCCCGCCCTCTCGCTCTCCGCCGCTGCGCTTTGTGGGAAATGGAGGTCTGCGTCCGGCCGAGCCCCACACAAACGCTCGGCGCATGCGCGTCCCGAGAGAGAGAGAGAGAGAGAGAGGGGGGGCGGGGACGGCAAAGCAGCCTCATCACGTGACTGATGCCACAGGAGATCTTTACAGCAATAATCATCTTCATCTTCACCTTCATCACCTTCAGCTTTGACGACAGGGCCCCGCACCGCGTCTCACCAGAGGACGTCTCCACATCTCACCGGCCGAGGCATCTGGTGCTAACCGACGGCCGATTCCGGCCAACGCGGCGGCCATCATGACCGGAACCCGGCCCCACACCCGACCCCACCCGACCCCACACCCGACCCCCCACCCGACCCCACCCGACTCCACACCCGACCCCACACCCGACCCCACACCCGACTCCACCCGACCCCACACCCGACCCCCCGCGACCCGACCCCACCCGACCCCACACCCGACTCCACCCGACCCCCCACCCGACCCCACACCCGACTCCACACCCGACCCCCCACCCGACCCCACACCCGGCCCCACCTGACCCCACACCCGGCCCCACCGACCCCACACCCGACCCCACACCCGACCCCACACCCGACCCCACCCGACCCCACCGGACCCCACACCCGACACCACCCGACCCGACCCCACACCCGACCCCACACCCGGCCCCACCCGACCCCCCACCCGACCCCACCGACCCCACACCCGACCCCACCCGACCCCACACCCGACCCCACCCGACCCCACACCCGGCCCCATCGGACCCCACACCCGGCCCCACCCGACCCCACACCCGACCCCACCCAGCCCCACCCGACCCCACACCCGACCCCACCCGACCCCTCACCCGACCCCACACCCGACCCCACCCGACCCCACCGACCCCACAGCCGACCCCACACCCGGCCCCACGGTGAGCCATCAGTTGCTCTGTGGGACAGTCGGCCGGGACACAAGCCGAGGGAAACTCCCTTCCCTTTTCCAATGCACCGTGTGAATCTTTAACGTCCCCCTGAACAACAACAACGATAACAACAAAATAACATTCGTAAAGACCTTTCACGTCGGGACGTCCCCAGGCCCTGGACAGTCAGAGTTATGGACCTGAGCTGAGGGTCGGGGTTGGGGAGGGGAGGGGAGGGCAGGGGGGGGAAGCAGGGAGATCGAAAACATGGTTGAAGAGGAGGGTCTTGAGATGGGTCTTGAAGGTGGCGAGGGAGGGGGCGAGGCGGATGGACTGTGGGATGGAGTTCCAGAGGGTGGGGGCAGAGTGGCAGAAGGCCCGAAGGCGGGGGGGCCGTGAAGCAGGTGGAGCCCACTGAGCAGACCTTGGTTTAACATCTCTGAAGGTCGGCAGCTCTCGACAACGCAGTGCTGCCCCCAGCGCCGCACCAGATCGTCAGCCTAGCCCAGAGGAGTCACGCTCACCTGGCTTTCGGGGCTTAATGGAGATCAATCTGAAGCTCAGGGTCGGGAGAGTTGGTTTATATTGAGATTTTCACTGCTAACTACATGGCTGCTGAGACTAGGCCCTCACTAAAAAGTTTGGTGCTTTTTGGCCTGTGAACATGTTAGCAGTGATCGGAATAGTCCCGGACCCAGAAAATTCTTACTGTAGATCAATAACTGTTCAATCAAATATGTCCTGTAATTTGTTTAATCCTGCCACTATTCACAATGACTAACATTAGTTACTTTCAATAATGTTTATTAATGTCTAATTGCATATTACCACATCGCCTCGCTTCCTCCCTTGCCTTCTCAAGACCTTTCTCTTCGACCGTGCCTTTGGTCTCCCTCCCACCTCTCTGCCTTCCCTCACCCCTACACCACCCCTCCCCCATGCTCAGCCCCCGACACTTGACTGTTCAGCGCTTTGGGACGTCCTCCCGACGTGAAAGGCGCTCAATAAATGTCATTTTGTTGTTGTTGTTCTTGACTTATTAGCTCCCTCCACTCAGCGGGCTCCGGCCTGCTCCACTTCCCCCGCCCGGCCTGCCACTATTTGCAGTCAGACCTTCAGCCTGTCTGCCCCACGCTTTGGAAATCTTACCTCACAGTCCCTTCACCTGGCTCCCTCGCTTGCTTCCCTCAAGGCAAGTCTCAAGACACCCCTCTTCGACCGCACCTTCGGTTAACCCTCCTATCTCTACCATCTCTGCCCTCCACCCCTCCTGATCCCAAACCTCTGTTCGGGTCCAAATCGCTGACTGTCCTCCCAATGTGAAAGGCGCTATACAAATATAATTTGTTGTTGTTCTATCAAATGTTTAATGTAATTTGCTTAATGCTGCCACTATTCACAATTAGTTAGTCAGTTACTTTCAAGTATCCTTATGAATGTCCAATTACATATTGCACAAGTCAAACAACTCAATCTTTTCCGACTACTTCAACTTGTGAAATTTCCTTTCACTTCTTTGAATGGGTCAATAACAGTCCATTGTGTCCTGGCCAATATTCCTCCCAAACCAAATTCCTTTTCACATCATTGTGAATTAATCTCATTCTATAAAGGACTTTTTTAATTAATTGAAGACAAGGAGGGAGTGTTACGAGCCTGAATTGTTGAGTGACTTTTCTGTTCCTGCGCTGATTCAGCGATTGGCTCCGCAGCCTATGTACAGCTCGTGGTTTCTGTGTTCGATTCCAGTGTCCAGGGAATAGAGCCAAGTATTATAGAGAACTTGTGGTCAGGACATAGTGCATGATATATAGAGGGGGTGTGACCAAGGCAGGAGGTTTGGACAGTTTTTGGACATCTTTGTCTGAGACCATAAGTTTTGGGTATGAATCCAAATGGGACCACTCAGCCCTTCACTCTTTCAATAAGCACCATCTCTAAACCTAATCCTGTGTGTATGTGTGTGTCTCTGCCTCAGCGGAAATTCTTGTGGGAAGTCTGGCAGTTTGTCAGTAATGACTGTTGCTCTATCTTCCTATCTTAACGCTAGTGCTGAGGATATGGGAGGAGTTTGGTGCTTGACAGATTTTAATTGAATAAACCTCTTTATTACAGTGATTTGAAAGAGCAGCTGGATGACTATGGACTGCGCTGTCCTATACTGGTCTTATTAATAATAATAAACCTTCTATTTGAGACATCTCTGAGAATATATATGCTGTAAAGTGAATTGACTGTATTTTGTGGGCGAAACACGGTAACCAATTGCGCACAGAAGTGTCCCACAAACAGTCGCGGATTGAGTGACCAAATTATTATTATTTTAAATGATGACATTAACACAGTTTGGCATTGATTCTGCATTGAGTTTTCCCTCATCTGCGCAGTGGGAGTCCCTGTCCCTTTCCTCAATCCCCTTGATGGGGGTATCTCCCTTCATTTCTTTTTCCATTGCTTTGGTACCCATGTATGTTTTCTGGAAGGATGAGATCAAATGGGCCGAAGAACCTTCTTCATCGGAATCAACCTTGTAATAATAACAATAATTCTTGCATTTGATATAGTGCCTTATCACGTCTCCGAGACGTTCAAAGAGCTTCACTGAATATACTGTGTAGGGAATTGATTGCATATTTTGTGGGCGAAACGTGACAGCCGATTGCGCACCAAAGTGTCCAACAAACAGTTGTGGATTGAGTGAACACATTTTTTCATAAGAGATTATTACCCCCAGAAAAGCAATCCCCCAATTGACTAACGACCAGGTTCCTACTTACTGCTAGGTAAACAGGCGTGTGGAGTAATGAATCTTGCCCAACGTTTCGCCCTGCCCGGGTAGTCTCAATTTCTTCTCCTGAACCAATAAAAAATCTTTGCAGGAACCTACGTGTCTTGTTCGACTCTCAATTGTCTTTTCTTCCCCACATTCAAGCCATGAGCCGCTCTGCCTTCCCTCACCTCCATAACATTGCCCGACTCCGCCACTACCTCACCTCCCAGGCCGCTGAAACTCTTGTTCATGCCTTCATCACCTCCAGGCTCGACTATGCAAACGCCCTGCGTGTCGGCCTTCCCAACTCCTCCCTCCACAGGCTGCAGATAATCCAGAACTCTGCAGCCCGTGTCCTCTCCCGCACCAAACTCCATGACCCCATCTCCCCCACTCTCGCCCGACTCCAATGGCTCCCTATCCTTCAGAGGATCCAGTTCAAAATCTTAGTCCTCACCTACAAAGCCCTCCATGGCCTCGCCCCACCCTATCTCTGCAACCTCCTAATCCCCCGACCCACCCGCCCCACCATTAGCGGGAGAGCCTTCAGCCATTCTGCCCCCAACCTCTGGAACTCCATCCCCCAGTCACTCCGCCTCGCCCCCTCCTTAGTCTCCTTTAAGTCCCGCCTCAAAACCCTCCTCTTCGACCATGACATCGGTCAACCCCCCCTTCCCCTCCCCTCTCCCTCCGACTCCAGCTCGGATCTAAAATGCTGTACACTGTCCAGCGCCTTGGGATGTCCTCCCGACGTGAAAGGCGCTATACAAATGTAATCTTGTTGTTGTTTTCGTTGTTGTTGCTAATTTTAAAGGTTCCCTTCTGTGGGCTATCTCAGAGCAGGATCTCCTGGCACCAACAATGATTGGACAGCAGATCTTGATCTCAGCCACAAGTGACAGGTCTGCCAATGAGGTGCAGAGTAACCCCCCCACAGCTCTGGAGTAAATATTGGTCTGAAAGTGACAGCGCTTTGTTGTGCACTAATGCTCTTCTTTCCTCCCAATATTTAGACACAAAAGCTGAAAAAAATCGGAACAATAGAAGAAACGCCGGCAAGAGGCTGCTACAGTCACAGGCTCAAAATGACGGAGACAGAATGTGATGTAATGCTTTTTTATTCCAGC